TGAGAGGAAGTTAGGGTGAAATATATGCAACTAATGGCAGAAAAGTGGGCTAGTGTAAGTATGGGTAATTGGGGGGGTTGAAGAGAGATGGGATAATTTTTAAAATGGAGTACAGTGGAACCTCTTCTTGTGAGCACAGCCACATGTGAGTTTTTCCAAATACGAGCAGTCAATGGGCCAATTCTTTGCTTCCATATGCGAGCAAAATTTCCACGAGCGAGCAGACCTCAAGGCAGGTTCCCCGACGCTGGTGAGGGGCTCTTGCTCTTTATCTAGGGAATTGTATCTCATTTGTTTGTTGGACTATCTTATTGAAACTTGGGCAATGTATGGTGGAAAGATGCTCCTTAACGTACACCAAAAATGAAAGAAATCTAAGCATAAATAATGGAGTTCACTTCTCAGCAATTAGCCACCCCTTAGCGGTATTTTCATATGGTTTTTATGGTTGTATTCTCGTTTTTTTGGTCTCATTTGATAGAATGGAAGATGCATTACAGAAATAGATATGATTTTGATTGTTTTCACGATGAAAAGTACCTTGAAATTGAGCTTACCATAGGAGAAATATTCGATTGCTTGGCTATGTTCAAGAGTAAACAAATGACATCACTGTCCATTCCAACATGCAGTCCTTAATGGGTTGACATTATTTATACAATTATTGCAATAAGGCATAACAGTAAATCTTATATTTTCTTTGTGAATAAAAATTAGAAATTACTATTTATATTGTAATAATAATAATAATAATAATAATAATAATAATAATAATAATAATAATAATAATAATACATATAATAATAATAGTATAATACAATAATAATAATACATAATAATAATACATATATAATAATAATGTTCTACATAATAATAATTATAATAATAGACAGCTTCAAAAGGCCGTCACTAGATGGCAGTGTTTACCACGACAAAGTGGGAGTGGTTGTGGCCACCTCCACCTGTTACATAATGACATATTTTATTCATTCTATAGTATATATCAGTTTTCTATGTTATTTATATCATTTATTATTTCATATTAGATGAACTCTGATAGATAAATAAGCTGTAGAGTTGATGATAATGAAATATTCAAGGAGTATTTTATCTTGTCTCCAGACAAACACTCGTTGGCCGCCACCGCCGTCACATATATAATGACATATTTTATTCATTCTATAGTATATATCAGTTTTCTATGTTATTTATATTGTTTGTTATGTCATATTAGATGAACTGTGATAGATAAATAAGCCATATAGATGATATAAGCGAAATTATTCAAGAAGTATTTTGTCCGGTCTCCAGACACTCTCTCGTCCACCTGCAGCGCTGTATAGTCCTTGTGGCTTAGGGCTTCTTTTTGATTATAATAATAATCTCTCGTCCACCGCCAACACCCCCCAAAACCACTCATAATTTTACATTTTTATTCATTTTGAGAGTATCGGGGTTTCTATGTTTTTTATTGTTTATTATGCATATTAGATGAACGAGATAGAAAAAAAGCCTTTTTAGAGTTGATTTTAGAAAAATTTTATTAAAAAGTACTACAGAATTTCACTGGAAGGATTAATTGCTTTCAATTATTTAAATGAGGAAAACTGACTCTGCAAAAAAGCCAGTCCAGTTGGAGGAAGGTATGGAATGGATTAAACCGCAGGTAAATTTCCCATGTTGATGTGGCACAGAAGTTTGTGGCTTAGGAGGGTGGGTGCAGGAGGAAAGGGATTGATTGGGGGAAAATGATGAGGTAAAGGGTGCGATAAAAGGAAAAAAGGTAGCTTATAAAAGGGTTTTTTTTTACAAAGCAGAAATGATGATAAAGGGGCAGAGTAAGGGAGAGTAAAAGAAAGGGGGAAGAGAGTGGTGGAGAGGGGGGAGGGGGAGCAAAGTAGAGGGGGAAAAAGGCACTCTCAAGAAATTTTGCTGAGAAAAAAGAAAAAATTTTGGAGTGAGATAAAAAAGTTAAGAAAGATAAGGAAAGAATGGATTTTCAGTGAAAAACAGAGTAGGGGAATTAGTAGATGGGGAGCTGGAGGTATTTGGGGAGATGGCCCGAAAAATTTTTGGGGAAATTATAAGTTGATGAAGAAAGGGAAGCAGTAATTCCATGCTGGCCTGGAGGTATAACATCTTTTTTGGAGTGAAGAAGAGGGAGGGATGTGATGTTGGGGGGGGGGATGAGGATTAATGAATGAAAGGGGGTAGAGCGCTGGAATGTGGGTCTGACAGAAAGATAAAAACAGGGGGAGATATACTGTAGTAGGATTGTTGGTATTTTTGTTTAATAAATGTATGAAAGAGGGGAAGGTACCTAGGGATTAGCAGAGTGTGTGTATAATTCCTTTATATAAAGGAAAGGGGGACAAAAGAGATTGTAAAAATTATGATAAATAGTTTACTGAGTATACCAGGTAAAGTTATGGTAGGGGTTTTATTTGGTTGAGGTAAGAAGAGAGCAGGATTGCAGATGAGCAAGGAGGCTTTAGAATGGGTAGGGGGATGTGTAGATCAGGTGTTTACATTGAAACATGTGAACAGTATTTAGATGAAGGTAGGGAAGTTTTCATTGCATTAATGGATTTAGAAAAGGGGTATGATAGAGTGGATAAGAGAGCAATGTGGCAGATGTTGCAAGTGTATGGAATAGGTAGTAAGTTACTAAATGCTGTAACGAGTTTTTATGAGGATAGTGAGGCTCAGGTTAGGGTGTGTTAGGTCTTAGACAGGGATGTGTAATGTCACCATGGTTGTTTAACATATTTATAGTTGGGTTAAGAAGAAGTAAATGCTAGGGTGTTGGGGAAAGGGGTGGGATTAAATTATGGGGAATCAAATACAAATGAGAGTTGACACAGTTACATTTGCTGATGATACTGTGCTTTTGGGGGATTCTAAAGAAAAGTTGCAAAGGTTAGTGGATGAGTTTAAGTGGGTGTGTGAAAGAAGAAAGTTGAAAGTGAACATTGATAAGATTTAGATAAAGAAAAATTGGATATCATATTGGAGGGAAGGAGTATGGAAACATTGAATGTTTTCAGATATTTGGGAGTTGACTTGTCAGCGGATAGGTTTATGAAGGATGAGGTTAACCATAGAATTGAAGGAAAAAAGGCGAGTGGTGCATTGAGGTATCTGTGGAGACAAAAAACGTTATCCATGGAGGCAAAGAAGGGAGTGTATGAGAGTATATTGGTACCAACACTCTTATGTGGGTGTGAAGCACGGGTTATAAATGCTGCAATGAGGAGGTGGCTGGAGGCAGTGGAGATGTTGTGCCTAAGAGCAATGTGTATATACACCTACCATCCGACGTACGACTGAGTTCGGTTCTGAGAAACCGGTCGTAAGTCGAAATGGTTGTAAGTCGAACTTTACTACTGAATATCAACAAAACATTTTTGTAATGACTTTATTTTATTGTTTTATTTTGGTATTTCACGTTTTACTTTACTTTTTATGTTGTTAGTACTGTATTTTATATTGTAAGGTTTAGGATAAACACTGTGTACAACACAAATAGTTGCTTATTTCCCAGAAATTTGGCATAAAAGACACGGTTGTAAGTCGAGTGGTCGTAAGTCGAGCAGGTCGTAAGTTGGATGTAGGTGTATTATGCAGAGAATTCATAGTGTGGAAATTAGGAGGAGGTGTGGAGTTACTAAAAGTATTAGTCAGAGGGCTGAAGAGGGAGTGTTGAGGTGGTTTGGTCACTTAGAATGGAACAAAGTAGAATGACTTGGAGAGCATATAAATCTGTTGGGGAAGGAAGGTGGGGTGGGGGTCATCCCCGAAAGGGTTGGAGGGAAGGGGTAAAGGAGGTTTTGTGAGCGAGGGGCTTGAACTTCGAGCAAGCATGCATGAGCGTGTTAGGTATGAGTGAATGGATGTGAATGGTTTTTGGAACCTGACGAGCTGTTGGAGTGTGAGCAGGGTAATATTTTGTGAAGGGGTTCAGGGAAACTGGTTAGCCAGATTTGAGTCCTGGAAATGGGAAGTACAGTGCCTGCACTTGAAAGGAGGGGTTTGAGATATTGGCAGTTTGGAGGGACGTCTAAGCTGTCGTATCTAAGTGCCTCTGAAAAGCCTGATTATGTATGAGTGATGGTGAAAGTGCTGAATGGTGATGAAAGATTTTTTCTTTCTTTTTGGGTCTCCCTGCCTTGATGGGAAACAGCTGACGAGTTATAAAAAAAACTCGGAAATGGCTAGGTAGTAGGTTGGTAGACAGCAGCCACCCAGGGAGGTACTACTGTCCTGCCAAGTAAGTGTAAAACAAAAATGTGTAATTGTTTTACATGATGGTAGGATTGCTAGTGTCTTTTCTGTCTCATAAACATGCAGGATTTCAGGTCCATCTTGCTACTTCTGCTTACACATAGGTCACACTACATATGCATATACAAGCACATATATACACACCCTTCTGGGTTTTCTTCTGTTTTCTTACTAGTTCTTGTTTATTTCCTCTTATCTCCATGAAGAAGTGGAACAGAATTCTTCCTCCATAAGAGTCATAAGAGGCGACTAAAATGCTGGGAGCAAGGGACTAGTAACCCTTTCTTCTGTATACCTTACTAAAGTTAGAAAGAGAAACTTTTGTTTTTCATTTTGGGCCACCCTGCTTCATTGGGATACGGCCGGTTTGTCGAAGGAAGAAGAAACTAGGAAATGGCTCAAATGATGAATTTCAAATTTAAAACACTTGCTAATGGTGTCGTGGATACAATGCTGTTTTGATCTGTTTACCCCGTTGGAAGATATTTTGGGAATTAGTTTTGTTCATGATTAGAGGAGGGGATCCTTTTTGCACAATGATATCTCAGAAATGAACTGGCTGTTTAGCATTAATTGAATATATAAATGTACTTGTTATTATGTTATTTAACCTTTATAAAGCCCTAGAAATGCTTTCATTATGCCAGATTGCCTGCAGAAATTTATCACGAACTATAGAAAAAATTTGTAGTAGTGTATTTGTTTGTGTTTTACAGATGTGGTGCTGGGATGTGGATGTGTCAGGATGTTCTGGCCACTTGTGTCAACAACAGCCAAGTATGTGATGGCAATAAAGATTGCCCTAATGGGATAGATGAAGGACCTGGGTGTAATCAAAATGACTGTGATGGTGCAGAACTTCAGTGCTCCGTTAACTGTATGCAGACACCAAATGTAAGCTATATATGTGAAGATGGAGTTTTTACTTTGCCTAATTTATGCATTTTTTGTAGGTACTGGAACATTTGCCTTGGTTAACATGTACTACCATACTGAGCCTGAACCTAGAATTTTTGATGGGCTTTCATTACACATTAGAATTCAAAATTATATTTTTTATTAATTCCTATTTTTTTATCTCATATAATAAAACAATATTTTTATTTTGAAAAACTTCAGAATATCTCTGAAAAAAATAGGCCTATTCTGGAGAGGGGCCTAGAGCCCTTCTAACATGGCTGAAGAACCAAGGTGTCCTTTCTTCTGCTTTTGATTCTTTTCTTTGGATGGGAATTTTGGTAATCAGTTACTTGATGATCTGGAAATATAAACACATATGCAGTATAATGTGATCCTTTATTGACAACGTTTCGCTCACACAGTGGGCTTTTTCAAGTCACAAACAGATCTACCTGGGGTGGAAGGTACGTGTTTATTTATAGTCAGGTTCAGAATGCTTAGGTCAGGTGGAGAATGCTGCATCTGATGATGTACCGAGTGGGGTTATAGAGTCTAAAATCTTGTTCTTGTTTATTTCTGCTTATCTCCATGGGGAAGTGGAACAGAATTCTTCCTCCGTAAGCCATGCTTTTTGTAAGAGTAGACTAAAATGCTGGGAGCAAAGGGTTAGTAACCCCTTTTCCTGTATACATTACTAAGTTTATAAAGAAAAACTTTCCTTTTTTCTTTTTTGGTCACCCTGTCTTGGTGGGATATTGCCGGTTTGTTGAATAAAAAAAATTGGTGGTAGATTACTTAAAGTAGTAAACAGCTTTCATGTGGCTAGTGAGGCTCAGGTTAGGGTTTGTAGGAGAGAATAAGATTATTATTTTATTTATTTATTTATTTATTTATTTATGTCTTTGCAAATAGTACATTGAGATTATGTATTTACAATAATGGGTTGCAATGCAAAGAGAGCCTTTATTATGCCAGTAAAAGTAGGCCTTAGACAGGGATGTATAATGTCATCATGGCTGTTTTGCATATTTATAGATCTTTTTTTCTTTCAACGCACCAGGTGTATCCCACCAAGGCAGGGTGGCCCAAAAGGAAAAACGAAAGTTTCTCCTTTTTCATTTAGTAATATACATGTATACAGGAGAAGGGGTTACTAGCCCCTTGCTCCTGGCATTTTAGTCGCCTCTTACAACACGCATGGCTTACGGAGGAAGAATTCTGTTCCACTTCCCCATGGAGGTAAGAGGAAATAAACAAGAACAAGAACTAGTAAGAAAATAGAAGAAACCCAGAGGGGTGTATATATATATGCTTGTACATGTATGTGTAGCGTGACCTAAGTGTAAATAGAGGTAGCAAGAAGTACCTGAAACCTTGCATGTTTATGAGACAGAAGAATGGACACCAGCAATACTACCATCATGTAAAACAATTACAGGCTTTCGTTTTACACTCACTTGGCAGAACGGTAGTACCTTCCTGGGCAGTTGCTGTCTACCAACCTACTACCTGTATATTTATAGATGAGGTTGTAAAAAAGTGAATGATAGGGTGTTGGGGAAAGTTGTGGGATTCAAAGACAGTGAATCTGGTACTGAGTAGAGTTGTCACAGTTGCTTTTAACCCTTTAAGTGTCGGCAGGCCCTCTACTAAACTTGTTCTCAGGGTCGGAAATTTTTCGAAAAAGAAAATTATTTTTCTTATGAAATGATAGAGAATCTTTTCGCGATCATAATGACACCAAAAGTATGAAATTTTATGGAAAACTTATGGAATTATGCTCTCGCAAAGTTAGAGGTCTTGACGATGTTTACACATTGGCGATTTTGCCCACTTTGAGCCCTATTTTCGGCCAAATCCAATGTACCAGTCAACAAAGATCATACCTATTTCGCTAGAACTCCATTTTTTCTATTGAATGAGAACGAGAAACCACCTATTTACCGATTTCAACTATCCAATAACATGGTCAGAAATTGACAACTTTGCCAATTTCACACAAATTTCAAAAGATGCCAATTTCCAAATAGGGTCCAGAATAAACAAGACAGGCATTCCTGGCACTAAAATTTCCTTTGTTCATTACTCATGTCCCCAGGCCTCTGTTACATTTCTTTTGCTTTCCACTTTGAATTTTTATTCTCACAAAAAAATAGGAGATTTATGTTATACAGACTACTCCATTCGTGTAGATGTGGTGTAGAAATGGTATAAATAACATCAGCGCACTTGTGAAAGAATATTAGACTCGCCAGTTGATGTGTATTGGACTCATGGCATGATTTGTTTACCTTTGAATTTTGGCAAAAATCGAACATTTCTGCTACTTTGAGCTCAATTTCAAGGTACTTTTCATTGTGAAACCAATCAAAATCATCTCAATTTCCATAATATGTCTTCCATTCTATAAAATGAGACCAGGAAAACTAGAATACAACCATAAATACCATATGAAAATACTCTGCAAAGTCGCTGTTTTAAACCAAAAACGTGGTCGGAGTTTTTTTTTCTCATTATGCACTGTGTGCTGCAGGATTTTTTTTATACTGTGCACACTGACCACATAGACCCATTCTTTCATATGTAGGCCTACCAGCTTTCTCTTGCTAGATTTGAAGGCTCTAGAATTTATGAGTACGTACTAGTACAGCACCAACCCTGGCGTGCAAGCCGTACTAGTACAGCACCAACCATGAAAGGGTTAACCAATGGCAGGGTTCTTTTGGGAGATTGTAAGAGAAGTTGGTAAACAAATTTGGAAGAGTATGTAAAAGAAGAAAATTGAAAGTGAATATAGGAAAGAGCAATGTGATGTGAGAATAAAAAAATATAGGCATTGAAAGACTGGATATTGTATTGGAGGGAGGGAATATGGAGGAAGTACAGGAGGGCCCCGCTTTATGGCGTTCCGCTAATACGGTCATTTCAAATTATGACCAAAACTCGCTATACGGCTCCCCCCACCTGACTTTCTAATACGGTCACCGCGCCCCACCCTGTTTGTTTACATTCTTCGTGAGCTCAGTAAGCACTAAGTCTCTCCATTTTGTCTGGAAACTCCAAAATTTCAAATGTTTTTAAAAGTTATTTCATATTTTATATATACGTACTCTGATAATTATACTTATGTATACCTGTACTTAAATAAACTTACATACTGTACTGGCATGCAGGTACACATTAAAATCAGTAAGAGTGTCTTATGTCTCCAGACGTCATATTAGTAATGATAATAATAATCATCGAGTCTCATTTAAATGTCGTATATTACGTTAAATACACATTTTCATTAATCCATCTATGATATTTTTTCAAAATTATATAATAAACACGATACATAACACAAAAAGATGATAAATACACCCCACAATAGAATAAACATAAATATGAGATGTGGTTGCAGACGACTTGCACAAGTGACGCCATATTAGAAATGATAATAATAATAATAATAATAATCACCGAGTCTCATTAAATGTTGTATATTACGTTAATATACACATTTTCATTAATCCATCCATGATATTTTTTTCAAAATTATATAATAAACACGATACATAACATAAAAAGATGATAAATACACCCCACAATAGAATAAATAAACATAAATATGAGATGTGGTAGCCAGATAACTTGTACAAGTGATGCCAAGAATAACATTTTCTCTAATCTAACATAAGAGAAAATGTGTTACTGGGGGTAACTATAGAAAATTATTCCTTTCGTATGTATGTAAGTAAGTTTATTCAGGTATACACAAATACAGTTACATAGATTATCATACATAACAACATATGTGTAGAGAACCTAGGATAACCCAAAAAAGTCAGTGACTTATTTCCATTGCCTTCACTCAGAGCATCATTTCTTCTCAAAATGATGTTACATGAGAATGGGAGTGTTCTTCTTTATTTATTCTACCGTATCAATGTAGAGACAACCTGTACACAATGTAACTTGTACACAAACCAGACGTGTACACTTTGTTTACAAAACTTACCTTCGCCTGGTTTGTTTACAAAACTCTGCACCTGTCCTCTCTCATGCACTCATTCTTTCTCTCTCATTTATTCGTTTTATCTCATTTACTTACTCCTGACCCTACATTAAGACTACAAATATTTTAAGGTAAGTAATGAGTGAACTGTATATACATTTTATCGCTCTGGGATGCTTAAATGTAATAGAATATTATGTGTAGGTGGGTTGGCCTGGTATGGTAGCCCGGCTGACTACCATACATACCACACTTGATTTCTTACAATAAATACTACTCATCTCACCCTAGATTAAGACTATAAATATTTTAAGGTAAGTAATGAGTGAACTGTATATGCATTTTATCGCTCTGGGATGCTTAAATATCATAGAATTGTATGTGTGGGTGGGGTGGCCTGGTATGGTAGCCTGGCTGACTACCATACATACCACACTTGATTTCTTACAATAAATACTACTTGTCTCACCCTGGATTAAGACTATAAATATTTTAAGGTAAGTAATGAGTGCACTATTTGTGTATTGTACTTTTTTATTGTTTTTTGATGCCTGGTTCTATTGCTAACTTAATATATGTTAGTGTAAACTTGTTATCTAGTGTTTGTATGCATTTGTAAGCGGAAAAAAAGGGTGTTCCACTTTACGGCGGTAGCCTGGAACCTAACCAGCCGTATAAGTGGGGCCCCTACTGTATAGGTGTTCAGATATTTGGGAGTGGACTTATTGGTGGATGATTTCATGAGAGATGAGGTTAACCATAGAATTGACAAAAGGAAAAATGGTAGATGGTGCATTGAGGCATCTGTGGAGATAAAGAACTTTATCCATGGAGGCAGACAGGAAAATGCACCAGAGTATAGTAGTATCAACACTGTTGTATGGGTATGAGGCAGGGGTTTTGAATGTTACAGTGAGGAGGAGGTTGGGGGTAATGAAGATATCATGTTTGAGGGCTTTGTGTGGTGTGAATATTATGCAGAGAATTTGAAGTTTGGAGATTAGGAGAAGGTGTGGAGTTTCCAAGAGTATTGTTCAGAGGGCTGAGGAGGTGTTGTTGAGGTTGGCTGAACAATTAGAGAAGGTGGAGAAAAATAGGATGACTAGAAGGCATGTAAATATGGGAAGGATGGGTAGGGGTTGCCTTAGAAAAGGGTGGAGGAATGGGGTATAGGTGGTTTTGAGTATGAGAGGCTTGGACCTCCAACAGGCTTGCACGAGTGTTTTAAATAGGAGTAATAGAGGCCAGTATTTTTAGCATTGAATGTGCTATTGGAGTGTGAGCAAGGTAACATTTATGAAAGGATTCATGAAAACTGGTTAGCTGGACTTGAGTCCTAGAGGTGGAAAGTACAGTGCCTGCATTTGGAAGAAGGGGCAGGGATGTTGCAGTTTGGAGGATCATCCAAACTGTAATGTCAGTGCACTTCTGGCAAAACAGTGATTGAACGAGTAACAGTGAATGTATTTTCTTCTTTGTTGGGTCATCCTACCTCAGTGGGAGCATAGTTTATAGTAAGCACATACCATCTCATTAAATGTTTATAACAACTCTTTCAGTTAGGTAAAATGAAAAAACATGTCATGTTGGACTCATACTGTCCTGATATGCACATTTCAGTGTACTGTATTTATCAAGCCAGAGCTAACTTGCTTTTCTATAAACCTTTACAGAATTTTAACATTAAAAACTCTATCACTTGAATCTCATCATTTGTAAGTAATGTTTTAGGAATGTCATGAATAAAATAAGTAAATTTTCGCTGTATTTTTCTCTTTTTGTAACAAGCATCTGAAAATTTTTCAGGGTCGTCAGTGTATATGTAATAAAGGTGAACGAATTAAGGAGGGAAGTGATACGGAGTGTGAAGACATCAACGAATGTGATCCTCCAGGCATCTGCTCTCAGACATGTGTAAACAAGAAAGGCTCATACATTTGCTCATGTGCTAAAGGATACTTGTTAGATTTTAATAAGGCAACTTGTAAAGCATTAAGTAAGTTCATCATGTTTTTATATTAGAATTTGGAATGTTGACTCTTTTACACGTGGGTGAAATTCCATCAAATAACATAAAATAAAAAATAGGTTTAAAAATGATTAAAAGCAGTGTTCCTGAGGTAGGTATATTTCATTATGAACTGAAGATAATGTTGAGTTGTATCAGCTGGAATACATTGTTTTTGCTTACCACATGTAATATATATAGGTTATTAATGATGATATTCAGCAAAAAGTGTTAAACTTATTATTCAAAACCGGAATGTAGTGATGAACTATATTGGTAGGAAAAACATGTTTTCTTTTAATTGGTCTGTATTCTGACCTATCTGCTGCTCTCTGCAAGAGTAGCATATATATCTTTTTCTAGTTTTTCTACTTAAGCCTCGGTGGGAGACGGCCAACTTGTTAAAAAAAAAAAAAAATATTTATATACAGTGGACCCCCATAACGATCACCTCCGAATGCGACCAATTATGTAAGTGTATTTATGTAAGTGCGTTTGTACGTGTATGTTTGGGGGTCTGAAATGGACTAATCTACTTCACAATATTCCTTATGGGAACAAATTCGGTCAGTACTGGCACCTGAACATACTTCTGGAGTGAAAAAATATCGTTAACCGGGGGTCCACTGTGTAATATATATATATATATATATATATATATATATATATATATATATATATATATATATATATATATATATATATATATATATATATATATATATATATATATATATTTATATATATATATATATATATCTATCTATCTATCTATCTATCTATCTATCTATCTATCTTGTCTTGCTCATGCTAGGTATGAGGAGGATCCAAATAATATTAGAAATATCTCCTTAACAAATAGTAATAGAGCAGTGAAATGAGTTATGAGAGTAGGTAGTAAGTGCCATAACTATTGGAAAATTAAAAAGAAATATGCTAAATTAAATACCAAGATAGGACACCTTGAGCTTAGTTCTGCTCCTGTAGCTAGAAATTGGTGATTATAAGAGGATTATAAGATTATAAAATTGGAGAGAGAGAATGTGGAAGAAGTGAATTTTTCAAATAGTATTTGGGAGTTGACTTGTCAGCGGATGGGTTTATGAAGGATGAGATTAACCATAGAATTGATGAAGAAAAAAAGGTGAGTGGTGCATTGAGGTATCTGTGGAGACAAAAAAGTTATTTATGGAGGCAAAGAAGGGAATGTATGAAAGTATAATGGTACTAACACACTTATATGGGTGTGAAGCTTGGGTTGTAAATGCTGCAGTGAGGAGGGAGCTGGAGGCAGTGGAGATGTCGTATCTAAGGGCAATGTGTGGTGTAAATATTTGGAGTGTGGAAATTAGGAGGAGGTGTGGAGTTACTAAAAGTAATAATCAGAGGGCTGAAGAGGGGTTGTTTAGATGGTTTATTGATTTAGAGAGAATGGATCAAAGTAGAATGGCTTGGAGAGCAAATAAATCTGTAGGGGAAGGAAGGAGAGGTAGTGGTTGTCCTCGAAAAGGTTGGAGGGAGGGGGTAAAGGAGGTTTTGTGGGCGAGTGGCTTGGACTTCCAGCAAGCGTGTGTGAGTATGTTAGATAGGAGTGAATGGAGATGAATGGTTTTTGGGACCTGACAAGCTGTTGGAGTGTGAGCAGGGATTTAGTGAAGGGATTCAGGGAAACTGGTTAGCTGGACTTGAGTCCTGGAAATGGGAAGCACAATGCCTGCACTTTCAAGGAGGGGTTTGGGATATTGATAGTTGGAGGGACTTCTAAACTGTCATATCTCAGTGCCTGTGCAAAGACAGTGATTATGTATGAGTGAGGTGATAGTGTTGAATGATGATGAAAATATTTTCTTTCTGGGGATTTTCTTTCTTTTTGGGTCACCCTGCCTCGGTGGGAGACGGCAGACTTGTTAAAAAAAAAAAAAGATGTAATAACTTGATTTGGGCATTTTGAGAGGATGGAGATGGATGGGATGACAAAGAGGGTGTATAAATCTATGGTGGAAGACAGTCATTCCAGGAATGGTTGGAGGGGAAGGGCAAATTGGAGGCTTCAGTTTTAAGGGCTTGAGCATCCAGCAGGCTTAGGTGAATATGTTAAATAAGAGTGAATTGAGATAAGTGACTTTTAATGGATATGCTGTTGGAATGTGAGCAAGGTAATATTTATGAAGGGATTCAGGAGAAACTATTTAACTGAACTTGAGTTCTGGAGGTGGAAAGGACAGGAGCTGCTGTCTGAAGGAGAGGTTAGTATGTTGCAGTTGGAAAGTAATCTGCATTATGTCAGCACACTTCTGACAAAACAACAATTGAATGAATGATGGTGAATGTGCTTTCCCTCTTTTTGGGGTCATCCTGCTTTATGGGAGATGACTGTTGAGATAAAAATAAAATGACATACTCCATTGCTGTATCCTATGGTATCACTTAGTTGTAGTTGAAAATGGCTGTCATTCTTTATTTTAAGTTCTGTTTAGTACTGTATTAAGAAACAATTCCCATGTATATTGTTGTTAGTATTCAGTTGCATTTATTTGTTATGCATTATTTGACTGTCCACAAAGCATGAATGGTTACGGTATTTAGTAGTTGACAAGTTGCTTGCTCTTGAGCACTACCACAGACTGAGTTACATTACACCATATAGCTCTTTCATTTAGACAACTATTTGCAATCCAGTTGGATTTTCACATGAAGTCAGTGAGGATATATGGTAGTTATGCTTTGGAAACAAGCTTAAATCAAATTAGAAACTGTAATACTACCTCCTCAATGACATTCTTCTTCTTTCAACAAACTGGCTGTATCCCACTGAAGCAGGGTGGCATATCTACTTAAATATTTGTGTCTTCCTTGGCCTGTAAAAATAACATTTTGGCAACTGTTGAGCTGATTCTTGGTGATTTCTTGGCTACTCTTATTCACACATGCCCAGAACTCATAAATATTAACTAGTGAATGGTGAGAAACTACTTAAACTAAAAAATGAAACAACTAGTATGAGAAATCTTTATTTTGGCTTCAGTTAGAGATCCTCTTCAGCAGATGTTCGGAGAGTCTCTGACTAAAACTGAAATATACAGAGTCTTTCTCTTGCTTCATTTTTAGGCACAAATGGTTGCCCACCTTTTGTACTTTGGCATGGTAGTTATTTTCTTCAGCTTATCAGACCATTTATTACTCAAGGCTTATTATAAATTCCGTATCTTGTAACTATAAGTATAATTATTTTTTGGTTAGGTTGTAAGGCCATACTCATGCTTTTTTGTTTATTGGATTAGTTCATTCATGAGAATCAGTGGGATGGTAATCAAGAATGACTTTGACTTTATTGCTGTAATTGGTATAAAGATAAACTCATGTTAAGAGTTCAAAACTAAGTATTATTTTATTATCATAAATCATTAACTGTTATTGTGATGGTAAATTGGGAGACTTTGTGCATTAAATTCATTAGGCACCAGTATCACACTTGGATCAAGCAGCCATCACTATTGACTGCACCAAAAATTGCTTGTGGAAAGGGCCCTATATTTTCAAATGGTGATCACTCACTTGCCTGTCCTCTCACTCATTCTATAGCTTTCTCTCCCACACTTTCACTCAGTTTTTTCTTTATGGACTTTAAAGCTTATCTAGGAGTTCTCCTCCATATTTAGGAGTCCTGCAATCTTTGGTCCTGGACCTGTTATTTCCCATTGATTGTAACTTTAATGAATGGTAAGGACTTACCATTTATTAAAGTTACCATTCTTCCTCACTCTGTCACTCTAGCACTTAATATTTGTTTTCTCTTGCTGTAGATCGATCACAGGCTTTCCTGGTAATGAGCAATCGCCGTAGCATCTTGATAGCTGACCTACACCAGCGAAACTTAGAGCGAGTACCAGTATTGGTGGAAAATGTTGTTGCAACGGCCTCTGATATGAAGAATGGCACCCTCTTTTGGTCGGATATGAAAGTCAAGCAGATTGTAAAACTGGAAAAGGGCGGTCAGCCGGAAGTGGTAAGCTAATGTCATGTTATTTGTTAATGGTTTGGGCATCATTGCTTAGGACTGAACCTGGGTCTTCAGGTTGAGTCAGAAGTGTTACCAATGTGCTTGGCATTTGGTTATGAATGAATACATTTGCCCAGAAAATTACTATTGCAAGAGAGGTGATAATTGGTAGATGAGTTGTCAGTTTTTATATGTAATGTTAGGATCATTGGTCTCAGATTAGGCATCCTAAATTAAAAAGGAAATATTACAGTAATAATAATAATAAGAATTATTGGGAACATTTAGTAAAGCAGAGGTAAGTGCATACTTCATTTAAATCTTGCCTCTGGCAAGACTGATGGAGTGAATGGTGGCGAAAGTATTTCTTTTTCTGGTCACCCTACCTTGCTGGGAGATGGTTAGAGTGTTAAGGGAAGAGAAGTACTGTATATTGACAAGTATACTATGTACAATATCTGTCATCAATATGCACATGCATAAGTACACTTTTAGAAGACTAATTGCCTGACAATTTTGAGAAGTGAAATACAGTGGACCCCTGGTATTCGATATTAATCCGTTCGTGAGAGCTCATCGAATACCGAAAATATCGAAAACCGAATCAATTTTCCTCATCAAATTAATCCGTACAAGACACCCAAAAGTATGAAAAAAAAAATTTTACTACATGAAATATTAAGTTTAATGCAATAGAATAATTACAATAACAATAAAATAATTGACACTTGCCTTTAATGAAGATCTGGTGATGATTGATGGGATGGGAGGAGGAGAGAGGTGCTAGTGTTTAGAAGGGGAATCCCCTTCCATTAGGACTTGAGGTAGCAAGTCCTTTTCCGGGGTTACTTCCCTTCTTCTTTTAATGCCACTAGGACCAGCTTGAGAGTCACTGGATTTCTGTCGCACAACATATCTGTCCATAGTAGCCTGTACCTCCCGTTCCTTTATGACATTCCTAAAGTGTTTCACAACATTGTCAGTGTAATAGTCACCAGCACGGCTTGCAATAGCTGTGTTAGGGTGATTGTCATCAAAAAAGGTTTGCACTTTAAGCCACATTGCACACATTTCCTTAATCTTTGAAGTAGGCAACTTCTTCAATTTCTCTATCCCCTCCTCTGAAGCAGTTTCCTCAAGTGGGGCCTCTTGCTGTTGAAGATGATCTATCAGCTCATCAGTGGTTAGTTCTTCATTGTCCTCCTCCACCAACTCTTCCACATCCTCCCCACTAACCTCTAACCCCAAGGACTTTCCCAATGACACAATGGATTCCTCAACTGGCATAGGATTCTCAGGGTTAGCCTCAAATCCTTCAAAATCCCTTTTGTCTACACATTCTGGCCACAGTTTTTTCCAAGCAGAGTTCAAGGTCCTCTTAGTCACTCCCTCCCAAGCTGTACCTATAAGGTTTATACAATTGAGAATATTAGAGTGATCCTTCCAAAACTCTTTTAGAGTCAGTTGAGCTTCTGTGGTCACTATAAAGCACTTTTGAAACATAGCTTTTGTGTACAGTTTCTTGAAGTTGGAAATGACCTGCTGGTCCATGGACTGCAGGAGAGGAATGGTATTAGGAGGCAAAAACTTGACCATAATGAAGCTCATGTCCCTAGAAAGTTACTCTGCCAAGTCTGTAGGATGACCAGGGGCATTGTCTAATACCAGGAGGCACTTAAGGTCTAATTTCTTTTCAATTAGGTAATTTTTCACTGGGGGCAAATGCATTGTGTAACTAGTCATAGAAAAAGTCCCTAGTGACCCATGCCTTACTGTTTGCTCTCCACATCACACACAAATTAGCCTTGAGTACATTGTTTTTCCTGAACACACTGGGAGTTTCAGAGTGATACACTAATAAAGGCTTCACTTTGCAATCACCACTAGCATTGGCACACATGAGAAGAGTAAGCCTGTCTTTCATAGGCTTATGTCCTGGGAGTGCCTTTTCCTCCTGAGTAATGTAGGTCTTGCTTGGCATTTTCTTCCAAAACAGGCCTGTTTCGTCGCAATTAAACACTTGTTCAGGTTTCAAGTCTTCACTGTCTATGTAATCCTTGAATTCCTTCACATATTTTTCACCTGCTTTTTGGTCTGAACTGGCAGCCTCACCATGCCTTACCACACTGTGTATGCGACTACGATTCTTAAATCTTTCAAACCAACCTTTGCTGGCCTTAAATTCACTCACATCAGCACTAGTTGCAGGCAATTTCTTTACCAAATCGTCATGCAACTGCCTAACCTTTTCATAAATGATCGCTTGAGAGATGCTATCTCCTGCTATCTGTTTTTCATTTATCCACACCAATAACAGTCTCTCAACATTTTCGTACACTTGTGGTCGCTGTTTCGTAATCACAGTTGCACCTTTTGCAAGAACAGCTTCCTTGATTGCCATTTTCCTGGTCGCTATAGTAGAGATGGTTGATTGGGGTTTATTATACAGCCTGACCAGCTCCGACACACGCACTCCGCTTTCGTACTTTGCAATTAGCTCTTTCTTCATTTCAATAGTCATTAGCGCCTTTTTTCTCGAAGGGTTGGCACTAGAAGCTTTCTTGGGGCCCATGGTGACTTATTTTGCAGAAAGAAGCACCAAAAACAGTGATAATATGGATAATATGGAATGTACCGAATGTATCCTTAGACGCGCGCACACTGGCTGGCTTGTAAACACTGGCACACACGGGGCAGTTCAGGCCACACGTGGACACGTCTCATATGAATTGTATCGAATACAGGGTTTCCGATCGGATACCGAGGCAAAATTTTTGCGATATAATGCATCGAATACCGGATTTATCGAATGCCGATGACATCGAATACCAAGGGTCCAGTGTAGCAACTTTTGCATGCAAGATGGTACCCTTCTCTATACTGCCAAAAACATGGAAGATTGGCTACATGTTTGTGATATATCATTCTTTCCTGACTGGCCTGGTAACTTACTGAACTTTAATCCAGTGAAAACAAGTGGAACCATATTAAGCGTAAGCCTTGTTGCATGAACGTGTCTTCTATATCCAAACTCGAGTTCCACTGAGCAAATGTGAGAGGGTATTGACTCCTCTGTCCTCCATAATATAGCTTATCAGTGCCTAAGAGACATAAGGAGTGCATCAAGAGGCAGGGAAATCTTATGGAAATACTTGATTAGGTGAGTAATCCATACATATTTCAGTATTTTATTATTAAAACAATATATTGTTTTGTACGTTCTCATTATCTGTGTGATTAGTTAATGTGGGTGCATGTTTATGATGCCTACTGTAGATAAATTTCTTCGTAAGAGGCTGACTGTCAATGAGAATTCTTCCAATACCTTAATTAAGACCTTGGGTAATACCATGACCAAGAATTCAATTGATACCTTGGCTAATACCTTGACCGAGGATTTCATTGATACCTTGACCAAGACCTTGGCTAATACCTGGGCCAATACCTTGACCAAAATTTTGACCAGTACCTTGACCAAGAATTTGACCAATGCCTTGGCCAATACCTTGTTAGCGAATTTGCATCACCCATTCCGTTTATAAAGAAAAATAACCACATTTCTCAAATGGAGATAAATTGACTATAGCAATACAGCCTCTCCTTACTTAACCCTTTCAGGGTTCATCCTGTAGTTCTACTGTTTTGAAGCCAAGGTCCAAACCATAGAACTATGCCAAAATTCTAGCAGCCTTAAATTTAGCACGAGAAGGCTAGTAGGCCTACATATAACAGAATGGGTCTGCTTGGTCAGTGTGCACAGTAAACATAAAAATCTGGGCACCCGTATGACATTGTGGGAATGCCGTCTCAGTACACCTTGTTCACCATGCCTCACGGCAAGGAAACTCTCACTCCGAGGCGAATTGGGACTCTCCTCTTCCTAACTGATAGTTCTGACACTGATGGAAGTGGATCTAAAGAGGAATTCTATGGTTTTGAACCATCTGGTTCATTCTATCATATGTTACAATGGTACCATATAGTAAAGTGGTACCATATCATACAATGGTACCATATGGTATAATGGTACCATATGGTACATTGTACCATATGGTTCAGGGACCCTATTGGAAATAGGTCTGTCTGACTTTTTTTGGGTTATCCTAGGTTCTCCACACATATGCTGCTATGTATGATAATCTATGTAATTGTATTTATGTATTTATAATTTTTTTATTAACACACTGGCCGATTCCCACCAAGGCAGGGTGGCCCGAAAAAGAAAAACTTTCACCATCATTCACTCCATCACTGTCTTGCCAGAAGGGTGCTTTACACTACATTTTTTAAACTGCAACATTAACACCCCTCCTTCAGAGTGCAGGCACTGTACTTCCCATCTCCAGGACTCAAGCCCGGCCTGCCAGTTTCCCTGAATCCCTTCATAAATGTTACTTTGCTCACACTCCAACATCATATCAAGTATTAAAAACCATTTGTCTCCATTCACTCCTATCAAACACACTCACGCATGTACGCTGGAAGTCCAAGCCCCTCGCACACAAAACCTCCTTTACCCCCTCCCTCCAACCTTTCCTAGGCCGACCCCTACCCCACCTTCCTTCCACTACAGACTGATACACTCCTGAAGTCATTCTGTTTCGCTCCATTCTCTCTACATATCCGAACGACCTCAACAACCCTTCCTCAGCACTCTGGACAACAGTTTTGGCAATCCCGCACCTCCTCCTAACTTCCAAACTACGAATTCTCTGCATTATATTCACACCACACATTGCCCTCAGACATGACATCTCCACTGCCTCCAACCTTCTTCTCGCTGCAACATTCATCACAAATGCTTCACACCCATATAAGAGCGTTGGTAAAACTATACTCTCTTACATTCCCCTCTTTGCCTCCAAGGACAAAGTTCTTTGTCTCCACCTACTCCTAAGTGCACCGTTCACCCTTTTTCCCTCATCAACTCTATGATTCACCTCATCTTTCATAGACCCATCCGCTGACACGTCCACTCCCAAATATCTGAATACATTCACCTCCTCCATACTCTCTCCCTCCAATCTGAT